GCACCCCAATGTTTATAGCAGCGCTATCAACAATAGCCAAACTATGGAAAGAGCCCAAATGTCCATAGATTAATGAATGGATAAAGACGTGATATATACATTTAATGGAATACTCCTCGGTGATCAAAAAGAATGAAATCTTGCCATTTGCAACAACGTGGATGGAACTAGAGTGTATCATGCTAAGTGAAATAAGTCAGAGAAAGACAAATATCATGTGATTTCATTCATATGTGGAATTTAAGAAACAAAACAGATGAATATAGGGAAAGGGAAGCAAAAATAAGATAAAAATAGAGATGGACACAAACCATTAGAGACCCTTAAAAACAGAGAAGAAACTGAGGGTTACTGGTGGGATGTTGGGTGGTGGAGAAGGGCTAAAGGGGTATGGAGCATTAAGGAGGACACTTGGGATGAGCAATGGGTGTTATATGTAACTAATGAATCACTAAATTCTGTTCCTGAAATCATTATTACACTATATGTTAACTAACTTGGATTTAAATTTTTTAAAAAAGTTTAAAAAAAGATATGCAAAAACAAAGAAAAAGGCTTCTGCGCAAGTGAAGAAAGCAATCAAAAGAATTTGTCCCTGAGAAGGCATTTATGTTTAAGAGACAAAAACTTTAAATAAACTATTTTAAATATTTAAAAAACTAAAAGAAGTGGGCACCTGGGTGGCTCATTCAATTAACTCGCCATCTCTTGAATTGGGCTCAGGTCATGATCTCATGGTTCATGAGATCAAGCTCCATGTCAGGGTCCACTTATTAAAGATTGAGCATGGAGCCTGCTTAGGACTATCTCTCTCTCTCTCTCTCTCTCTCTCTCTCTCTCTCTGTCCTGGCCCCCCACTCGAGTTCTCTCTCTCTCTCAAAATAAATAAATAAACTTTAAAAAAACTAAAAGAAGTTATACCTAAAGAACTAAAGGAAAATATGAGAACAATATCTCCCAGAGACTATCAATAAGGAGATAGAAATTATAGTAGAGAACAAAGTAAAATTCTGCAATTGGAAAATACAACTGAAATAAATATTTTATCATTTAGAAGAAGAACAGTGAAGTTTAATATAGGTCAATTGAAATTATCTAGTCTAAAGAGCAGAGAGAAAAATAAATTAATAAAAATCAACATCCTCAAAGACCCACGAGGCACCATAAAAATTATCAATATGTACATAATGAGAGTGCAAGAAGGTAAAGAGAGAAAAAAAGGATTAAATGAATATTTGAAAAAAATAATCACTGAAAACTTACCAAATTTGATGAAAACATGAATCTACCCACTCAAGCAGCTCAATAAACTCCAAATAGGATAAATCTAAAGTTATCTATACTTAGACACAATGTAATCAAACCATTGAGAGTCAAAAAGAAAACCCTCAAACGAGCAAGAGAGGTGACTCATAATGTACAAGAAATCCTCAATAAAAGTAAGACCTGAATCCTCATCAGAAACCCTGCAGGGTTGGAAGTTTTGTAGGTTGTGAGATGATACAAAGTCCTGAAAGAAAAAGTTTATCAACAAAGTATCCTATATCCAGTAAAAGTATTCTTTAAAATTCAAAGAGAAATGAAATTCCTAAATCAACAAAAAATGAGAGAATTTATCAATTGTATTACCAGTTAAACCCTACTTGGTAATGGTGGTATACATATGGTATATTTGTATATGCTGCTGGATTTGGGTTCCTGGTATTTTGTTGAGATGTTTGCTTTTCTTTTTTTACAGGGGATATTGGCCGTACCTTTCTGTTTTGTGTTGACTTTTGTCTGATTTTGGTATCAAAATTAGATACCTCATAGAATAATACTGGCCTCATAGAATAAATTAGCAATATTTCATCCCTTTACAATTTTTGAAAGAGCTTGTTAAAGAGTATTATTAATCTTTGAGTGTTAAAGATTAATTAAAATTTGTTTGTTAAAATTTTCTGGTGAAGATATCTAGTCCCTTTTATTGTAGGAATTTTTAAATCATTAATTCAATGATTTTACTGGTTATTGGACTATCTATATTTTTTATTCCTTCTTGAGTTGGCTTTCGCAGTTTATTCTTTCTCAAAGTTTGTCTATTTTTTTCTTGGTTATCTATTATATTGGCATACAGTTGTTCACTGTATCCTCCTGTAACCCTTTTTCTGCAAGTTTGGTAGTAATATCCCACCCTCATTTCTTTACGTTCTCTCTCCTTCTGTCTTAAGTCAGTAGCTAAAGGTTTGTCTTTTTTAATCTTTAAAAAGAATTAAATTTGGTTTATTGATTTTCTCTATTACTTGTCTATTTTCTATTTAATGTATGGCCATTCTAATCTACATCATCTGCTTTTCCTGCCTTCTTTGTGTTTGACCTTTTTTTTTTAATTTTTAAAATTGGGCTATTATTGATTTGAGATCTTCCTTTTTAATATTCAAGTTTATAGCTGTAAATATACCTCCAGGCACTGCTTTCGCTAAAGCTCATATGTTTTGGCATTGCTGGATTTTCATTGTCATTCATCTCAAAGCATTTTCTCCTTTTTTTAGGATTATTTTTAAATCGATGGTTATTTAGTTTTGTGTTGTTTAATTTTCACATATTTTATAATTTCCTACGTATCTTTGTTACTATTGTTGACAGTATCCTTGAGTCAAAAAGTGTCTAAAGAACTCCTCTGTGTCCTGAGCCAAACTGTATTGTTCGACTCAATAATCCTTGATTTCAAAAGGGAGATTCCTATTTACTCCCCCTTTGTGCAGCCCTTCTTTCAATCGGTTCACCTGAATAATTTTCATTCTTTCTTTAAGTGTCAATTTAAGTCACTTTTTCAATCTATGAAGTATTCCCCCATGTATATATTTTCCTTTCATTCATTAATACCTCTGTCAAAGCACCTATTGCTTTCTATGATCATTACAAATTTTCTTGTCATCATCTCATACCCAGTTAGAGCCCACCTCATACCCAGTGTCTGACAAGTACAATAATATGTACTGAGTAGGTATTTGCTAAAGGATTATGAACCCTAAATGGCATGGTCCCAACTCCCTGTTGTCCTATTACACACTCACTCACTTTGCTCTGGCTGCACTACATTCCTTGGCATCTCCATTTACATTGTCATGTTCCTGCCTCAAATCTTTGGCATTTGTTTATTGCCCTTGCCCTGAACTATTCCCTTCACAGCCTTTTCCCCCCATCTCAAATCAAAATAGGTCAAACTGGACCTATTACAGGCTTATACTTGTATTTATCACTCATTATTATATGCTTAGAGCTTCAAATATTGTTCGAGAAATAATTTTTGAAAAAACAAATGAATAGATGAATGAGTGAAAAGTGGGTGGGAATGGGGAGACAAAAAGATAGGGGATTTCTTAGGAACATAGTTTAATATGCAATAATACCTTTGAGGTGGGCGCCTGGGTGGCTCAGTCAGTTGAGCATCCAAGTTCAGCTCAGGTCATGATCTCGTGGTTCATGGGCTCAAGCCCCTCGTCGGGCTCTGTGCTGACAGCTCAGAACCTAGAGCCTGCTTCAGATTCTGTCTCTCCTCTCTCTCTGCCCCTCACCAACTCACACACTGTCTCACTCTGTCTCTCAAAAATAAATAAATGTAAAAAAAATAAATACCTTTGAGGAATATTAAATAAAAACTTGTGCCTATGTACCAAGCTGTTTTCTAGGCATTTAAAATACAATATTTAATTGAATCTTTTGAAGTCCTTTTGAGACATTGTTTAATTCTCAATGTCTTAATTAATTATTGTTTAAAATTTTAAACAATAATTAATTTAAAAAATTTTAAACAGTATTTATGTGGCAGAGCCAAGGCTCAACCTATTATTTGACTTGAGTGTCTTTTTTTACAACATATATTCTAGGACTTAGAGTACAAAATAACAAGGTGCCAGATATTGAGGGAGAAATTTAGACCTGATTTAATTTCTTTGAATGATTAGAATTCACCTTGGAATATCAAAAAAAAATTTTTTTTATTTCAAACTGTCAAGTTTAAAGCTAATTAATTTCTTGTCAAAATCATTTCTCTAAAATATAGCCAGTTAACAAGGAATGTTAGTGAGAAACATTAACGCATTAACAGATAAAACAGTATTATTCTGACTCTTTAATATATGCACTGCATTGGTAAAATTATTTTCAAAAATCTGGTTTATAGTAATTATTTGGGTATAAACATACAGATACTTCAGATAGATTATTTTTTCAATCTCCTTTGTTAGCGGTTATTATGTTAAAAGATTAAAAATAGGGGTGCCTGGGTGGCTCAGTTGGTTGAGCAACCGACTTGGGCTCAGATCATGATCTCACACTCTGTGAGTTCAAGCCCCATGTTGGGCTCTGGGCTGACACCTCAGAGCCTGGAGCCTGCCTCAGATTCTGTGTCTCCCTCTCTCTCTGCCCCTCTCCTGCTCATGCTCTGTCTCTCTCTGTCTCTCTCAAAAATAAATAAATATTTTTTAAAAATTTAATATTAAAAATAAATGGCTTGTTCTAAGTTTCTACAAATGGTAAACTTATAAATTGATTTTAGTTGAGGTATCAACATCGTAACAAATATAAATATAAATTATGTATATATACACTTTCTGTTCATTTTAATCACTCTAGAAAGCAATAAAAATATACAAGTTCAAGCAACTATTGTGTAAAATTAAAATTTCCAAATATTTTCTATGTTTTCTGACTTAACTTTTTTGTGTTTGTTCAAGATTGTTTTGTCAATATTTTCTTTTGCCAACCACATCCCACAGTTCATTGTTCTGGGGTAGCAAGCCTTATGCTCCATTTAATGTTCCTTGCTTATATCATTTTTGGGCGTAGACCTCAAAAGTGACCCCATTTCGGAAAATAAACCAGATCTCACTCCATCTCTGAGATTATTTTTGTCAGACCATGTGGCCCTTATCCACAGCAGCCTAAGTGACATTCCAAGATAGTGAGGACTCTTCTGAGATGCTTCAAATTGTATCCTTTCCAGAATCCTAGTCCACAATCTCTTCTAGAGTGCTGCTATCAACACAGAGAGGAGTCAAAGATACTCCCTTATGAGAATTCTACCCTCTAGAATACAGCTGGCAACAGATGATCAGATATTTGCTAATACTGCTACAGTTTGAGATCTAAAGCAAAAAATCACCAATTATCTTCAGATTTAAATCAGAAGAACTTCTTAGATAAAATCTTCAATCACAATAAAGTTTGAAGCAGAAAAATCCTTTACTTCTCAATAACCAGTATCTCAATATGTACCACCAATATATTGTAGGAGAGGTAATTCATGCACCTTTGTTTCTCTGCCTTTATTTGAGATACATTATTTTTAGGTAATTAATTAATCTGGATTATGAGGAAGGAAAAAGAGAAACAAGAGTTTTTTGAAAACATATCAAAGGGTTTATTTCCACATATGCAAAGTGCCCTTGAATAGCCAATAATCTATAATGATTGAAAATGCATTTTGCCCATGAAACATATAACTGCTTATATTATTGCTTAATATATCTTATACTTACAACTAGACAATGCCCACTGGTATATTAAAGCTCTACGATTCCAACAGAAAAGAAACTTCTTACATAGGATTTTAGAGTTGCTGGAAATTGTTTGAACACACTTTTTTTCCCCTAAGTAATATTACTTGATACCAATAAAATTTTTCTTTGAAATCTTTCTCTACTGCAGAGTGACTGATGCTTTACTTCCGTGGATATCCCAAATGTATCACTAAGGCAGAATAACCTTCTGCAGGCTAAATAAATAAATAGGTTGAGGTTTTACTTTTGTAACAGTGGCAAGATTAGTTAACTTAATCATTAAGCTAGACTTTACATATTACCATTTAATACACTCCTTCACTGAGCACACATGATTTCAACTTATTATGATTTTACTCTGTTTGATTTTTTAACCCCTATCTTTATAGATAATCAACACCTCAGAAAATGAAAGCTTGGCAAGGGGAATTATTAAGACTCTTCAGTAGAACATAAACTGGCCCAAGAAGCATTATGGACATGGTAGAAGAAGCCCAAGACATGGTAGAATTGACCCATCTTAGGGGCTCCTAGGTGGCTCAGTTGGTTGAGTGTCCAATTTCAGCTTAGGTCATGGGCTCAGGTCATCCTCCCACAGTTCGTAGGTTTAAGCCCCAATTAGGCTCTGTGTGGATAGCTCAGAGCCTGGAGCTTGCTTCAGATTCCGTGTCTCCCTCTCTCTCTGCCCCTCCCCTGTGCTCTCTCTTGAAAATAAATAAACATACTTACCTGGCAGGGGAGATACCATGATCACAAAGGTGGTTTTCCCAGGGCAAGGCTTATCCATTGCACTCCGGATGTGCTGACCCCTGCAATTTCCCCAAATGTGGGAAACTCGACTGCATAATTTGTGGTAGTGGGGGACTGAGTTCACGCTTTCCCCTATTAAAAATAAATAAATAAACAAATGTTAAAAAAAAAAAACCAAAAGGGTTGACCCGTGTGATTTTTTTTTTCTTTTTCTTCTCAATCTATGTCAATACTGTTAAAAGCTGAAAGACTTCTATCTAAAAATATTTCAGGGAATCAATTCAATATCATTCAATATCAAAATACAGTGGTTTGCACATGAAAAAGATTTTGGAAATTCTGCTGTTTTATGTTTAACCACCTTAGAAAGCCAATAGGAAGCACTGTCAACAGAAGTTGAGTCCTGTATCACAACTAAAACAAAAATGTCACTGATTCAACTAAAACCTTCTATAGGGCAAAAAAACCAAACCCATGAAATGGTAAGGGAAAAGAAGTGGATAAAATCTCCATAAAACTTCTGTCTTGAAATAAATTCTGTTCTTCAGGATTCTCTGTTATATCGATTAGTTTCTTGAATCTTTTGTCAATGCCAACTGCTATCTGTGTCCCATCTTCAAGTACCTCTTGCTTCTCAGCTTGACCCTAATGACTACGTTCTTCACTCTCCTCCATTATTTTCCAAGTTTCCACCTCAGAGGACCCAGTCTACTTTTCTCTTTTTGTTCTATGATGGGGTACACCCCTGATAAACTGCCATTATAATACCCAATTCACAGAATTGCAGATTTGGCAAGCTCCAGTCACAGCCCAAAGACGCACATCTAGAGGGCCTTAGATTCAATGGGATGACTGTTTTGTACTCTTGAATTTTTATTTTCCAAACCGGGTTAGCATTTTGTTTATCAACTTATTTGATTCACAAATAAATAAATAAATACGTATTAAAACATTTATCTTTGGACTTTTAACTTCAGCTCAAAAATGTAGAGAGCTGGATGGATGTCATCCTCCACCCGATGAGAAAAGTGCTGGATATGTTCCAAGTTAACAAACTTGCTTCAATTCTTCAGAGAAATGAGGTCATAAGGCAAACAACCAACCTGAAACGGAGGCATAGAGAAGTCGGGGGCCTGCAGTTTAAAACAGAACCCACACACTAGTTTTCATGGGGAATGTGCCACTAGACGCCAGAGAAGCCAGTAGGAAGATGAAATTATAAAATGTAATGCATTGCTGAAGGCTGAGCGTGGGCTAGCATGGAAGTGAGAAGTCTACAGACCACTCATATTTGCAGTCTCCGTCCTTTTTCAGGTGTCACCTTTAGGAAACCCACCAGGCTTTCTTGGGGGAGCGTAGGAGAGAACACCCCTGACGTGCTGACTTGGGTAAGAAAACAGCAACTGCAGGGATTTGCTAACATCATTTGCCCCTATTTCCCTTATAAATTAAAATGCTTAACCTGGGGGCTCCTGGGTGGCTTAGTCGGTTAAGTATCCGACTCAGGCTCAGGTCAGGATCTCACTGTTCATGGGTTTGGGCCCCATGTCAGGCTCTGTGCTGACGCCTCTCAGCTGGCAGCTCAGAGTTTGGAGCCTGCTTTGGATTCTGTGTCTCCCTCTCTCTGCCCCTGCCCTCCCCACCTTTCTCTCTCAAAAATAAGTAAACATAAAAAAAAAAAAGGCTTAATCTGTAGAGGCAGAACAAGGAAGCACTATCCTGCAAGCCAATCCAAGAACCTTAGAGAACTCAAATAGGATAAATAACAGAGGTAAACAAACAAAAGCCCACACCTAGAAGCAGCATGTTTGAGCTGCAGAAATGCAAAAGATGAAGAAAAAATCTTGAAGGTATCTGGCAGAGGGTGGTGGTGGTATACTTGCAAAGACAAGAGAATAAAAATTACAGCATTCTTTTCATTGGAGACTCTATAAGCGATAAGGCAATGAAGTGACCTCTTTAAACTGTTAAAAAAGAAGATAAAATCTTATTAACTCAGAATTTCACACTCAGCAAAAATATCCTTCAAAAATGAGAAAAACAAAGTGCTGCTCAAGCAAACAATAATTGAGGGAAATTATTGCCTATAGACTTACTCTATAAGAAACATTAAAGGAAATTCTCCAGCGAGAAGAAAGATGGTATAGCAGAAACATGGACTATAATAAAAATCAGAAATGGAATTAATAAAGTAAAAGTCTCCTTTTTTAATTTCTTGTTGTTAATTGCTCTAAACAATAAACCATGGCAAGCAATGATAATAACAAAGTATTGGCTGTCAACTGAATGTCTGACAACAATGGTACAAGGGATAGGAGGGAGAAATTGGGAATAAGTAGGATAATATCTTTACACTACAGTTAAAGAAGTATAATAGTATTTGAAGGTGGACTCAGATTTTTTAAAATCTCTATTTTAAACCCTAAGGCAACTACTAAAAAAGTTAAAAGTTATAAATATTATTAAGTCAATTGAGATAAAAGGACATAATGGAAAATTCTCAATTAAAACAAGGAAAAGGATAGAGAAAGAAAAAAAGATATTTAAAAACTACAACAAATAGAAAACAAGCAAGAAGATACACTTCTAATCCAACTATATCAATAATAATTTTTACTGTTAATGGTCTAAACAGTTAAGATACAGAAATTGTCAGATCTGATTTTAAAAAGCAATAAACAACCCATTTATATTTACATGAAGCCTCGTTTTAAATGTAAATACCTTTATAAATTAAAAGCAATGGCTAAAGAAATATATATCATTCAAACACTAACCAAAAACAGCTGGAATGGCTGTATTTATTGCAGGTAAATTAGACTTCAAAACAGAGAAGATTATCAGGGATAAACACAGACAGATAGTATATAACAATAGAGACACATTTTCAAAGATGATGTAACACTCCTAAACATGTATTCAGCTAATAGAGTAGTATAAAACATGAGGCATAAAACAGTAAATCTTAATGGAAAAATAAACAATTCCACATGACAGGGGCTATGGTGAATACAGAATTTATGCTCCATTTAATGCACCAACATTCAGAGGAAATAATGCTATTGTATTAAGAAAGACTGTGACCCAGTATATCCTAATATGCTTAACTCTACACAAATGTGCAACTTTTGAAAAGAAGTGAGTCATTTACAAGGGAACTGGTTCTGGGAGAGGAAAATGAATGATGGGCATTATGAGGAAAGTCGACAAATACACATGCTTTATAGTGATCCTGTGGGAGCAGTTTTCTTTGGGATAGCATTCCTGACCTCCTGCTGGCGGTGGTTTTTATAGTACTAGGGCATGTACCAAGGGCAATGAGTCAAGGCTAGACATCTCCTCCAGTGAAATCCTCCCTATACCTCTGAAACTCTTACTTTTCTTTCTCTTATCAGCTGCATTTAATTTTGGAGGGGAAAGTAATTATGAGAGGTGCCTGTCAGAAGCCACAGGGATCTGTACGTCAGCCTATCTCCATTAATGTTTTAATTACTGTCGCCTCACAACTCTTAACGTAAAACTAAGCATTGGGATGTGGTAACATGGAGACTTAACTACGCACAGCTGCTTCCTAAGCTACATTCTGTATCTCTGAATTAATAGTGTACATTAAGTCTCTCTGACTTAAAGTGCACAATGGGAAGCACATTTGAAAAATCCAGAGTTACTCAGCTTCTCGCAGATTTTCTGAAATACCTCTGTTCTTAGTGAGTTACAGGTGCTTTTCAGCCATGTTCCCAGAGTTTTCTGGAGAATATATGCACATATACGATCACTGAACTCTACAATCGATGTACGTGGACGCATGTACAGCAATTTGGAGCTGAATTTCCGGGTCTGGCATTCTAAGTACTCTTCTCATATAGTGAACCACATTTTATTGTGACGACTCGTTTCTTATACACTTTTGCATTAAAAAAATAATTGGACATTGATTATGAAGAGTTTTTACCATAGTGGTCTCAGAAAATCTGAAATGAGAAAATACAAAACATTTAAGGGATTGTTTTAAATCACGTAGACTGTACATTATTTTCAGGCTAAATTCTGAGACTACTTCCATGGTTGCTACTCAATACATATTTATTGAGTAAATGATCTCATCCTGTCCTCACTCAACAATTTTAGGTATCATATGTTCCAGTTATCTATTGCTGCGTTGAAAATCATCCCAGAACTGAGTCTCTTAAAACAACTATCCGATACATTTTGCTCACAAATCTGCAATTTTGGGCAGGACTTCGTAAGGACAGTTTTTCTATGCTCCATATGGTATGAGCTGCAGTGGACCAAAGATGGAAGTAACTAAAGATTCAGCCACTCACATACCTAGTAGTCGATTCTGTCTGTTGTTAACAGCTTCACTGGGCCTCCGACTAGAGCACTTACTTATACGAGGCCTTTTTGTGCCTTTGCTTGATTTACTCATGACATGATGGATGGTTAAGTTCTAAGAGTAAGCAACCCCAAAGAACAAGAGAGCCAGAAGAAAGACCACTGTCTTTTCTGACGTAGATTCAAATGACGCAGAATCACTTCTGTGGTAATCTGTTCATTCAATATGAATTAATAAAATTCGCATGGGTTCAAGAGGATGAAAATATGGTCTCACTCTCTAAAGGGAGGAATCTCAAAGAATTTGTGGGCATGTTTAAAGCCACTCAAATCCTCTGTCTGGCCACATGTTATTTATATTTCTTCCATAAGCAAAATTCGTTAATTCCCTTTTAAGACCCCTTAAAAACTTGTCTATTCAGTATCAGATTTCAGCTCGAGTTCTAAGATCTAAATTATGTAAATATGTACCTCAAGTATTTTTCTTGAATATGCCAGCAAGAGTATGGTTCTTCTTTATCTGAAAACCTATTAACTAAAGAGATTTCTCTTCATTCCACACAATAAACATACAGTGATTCAAAATGGAAAAAAAATAAAAATAAAAATAAAAGATAGGTGCACAACAATCACTAGTCCATAGTGATTCCGAAATCCATCAGGCATATTGCCAGTTCTTTAATTAAAGTTTAAAAGTAATTTCCAGAAGTTGTTCACCATGGCTCCTGTCTCTCTCTTTCAGGGTCTTGGTTCCCCTTTCTGAGTCATTCTTTCTTTTC